GAACCCAGGGCCTCATGCATGCAAGGCAAGCGCTCTACCACTGAGCCACCTTCCCAGCCCTGGTTTTAAATTTTTTATATTGAGAATCTACTGCTCTATATTAAAGTATTTTCAGAAAAAAATTAAGTTGTATCTTTTTTTTAGTACTTTTGAAAGTATTTTTATGTGCGATTATTATAATAAATGTTTTACATTGAGTATATCTTAAAAGACACTGAAGAATATATACAGTAATGTGAAAACTGAGAGCGCTTCCCTCTGACCCCTTTTACTTCCATTGCCTAGTAAATCCTTCCAGAAATACTTTATGTATATACAAAGTAGATGTTTATAAGTTAGCCTACAATAAAATCACAGATCTGTGTTTTACCACAATATTTCTTGCTGACATGTGGTTACCAGGACTGCTTGAATACCTGAAACCATATTGCCAGTTTTACTGGGTCCTCCTCACCTCATAGGTCTTTTCATTTTAGGACTTGGAATGAGCAGGCACTGCCTGCAGCATGCTATTCTTAAACATGGCAGATGGCGAATCTCAGGGATGGGGAGAGAGCTGAACCATAAACTCACATTTAAAGCTTCTTCATGAATGGTGCACATTTAATACCCTTGTTGACCAAAGCAAGTAATATAACTGAAAGTCACTGGGACAGCAGTTGCCAGACATTTGAGGAAAGAACTTTTATTTATTTATTGATTGATTTTGTTAGTCATGGGGTTTGGACTCTGGGCTTAGACTCTGTCAGTTCTTCAGCTCAAGCCTAGCGCTCTACCACTAGAGTCACAACACCACTTTTGGTTTTCTGGTGGTTAATTGGAGATAAGATAAGAATCTCGTGGACTTTCCTGCCCAGGCTGGGGCTGGCTTCGAACCATGATCCTTAGATCTCAGCCTCCTGAGTAGCTAGGATTACAGGCGTGGCCTGGAAAGAACTTTTAATATGAAAGGTAGAGTTAAAACCAAAGCATTAAGTATAAAAAATTTATGAAGTTGGAAGAAACAAACAAAAACTCCAGTTAATATCCTGAGAAAGTTAAGAAACACCCAGTATTGACATTCATTAAATAAGGACAGACAGAGGACTATCACATAAGAAGAATTTCCAGCTTTTTCTGTTTATGTGGTATTGAATAATCAAACCCAGGGCTTCATGCATGCTAGGCAAGCACTCTACCACTAAGCTACATTCCCAGTCCCACACAGGAAGAATTAGAGTAAGAAGTTTTGGAAATTATAATATGATAAATATAAGAACAAAGATATTTTAGAAAATGAAATTAAGAATCTTCTACAAATACTAGGAAAAACAAAGAAATAGGAAATAGAAAAATAGAAGATTTAAGACATAAATTAAGAAATTTTCTTCCTTGCTGGGTGTTGGTGGTTGATCCCTGTAATCTTAGCTACTCAGGAGGCTGAATTCTGAGGATTGTGGTTCAAAGCCAGCCCAGGTAGGAAAAGTCCATGGGACTCTTATCTCCAATTAACTACCAGAAAACAAGAAGTAGAGCTGTGGCTCAAAGCAGTAGAGTGCTAGCTTTGAGGAAAGAGCTCAGGGACAGCACCCAGACCCTAGTTCAAGCCCCATGACTGACTAAAATATAAGGATGCAGAGGTGGAGAGGATTGTAGTTTTAGGCCAGTCTCAGAAATTAGCAAGACTGAATCTCAAACAAACAAGTGGGGTATGGTTGTACACAGCTATAATCCCAGCTATGTGAAAGGCATTAGGAGGATCACAGTGTGAGGCTAGCCCTGAGCAAAAAACAACCCTATTTAAAAAGTAACTAAAAAGAGAGGAAGACTACCAAGATGGCAGGGATAGATTGAAATGCCATCTTTACCTGTTGTATTTTTATTCTAATAAAACTTTCCTATTGCCAGGTACTGGTGGCTCACATCTGTAATTCTACCTACTCAGGAGGCTGAAATCTGAAATCGCAATTCAAAAACAGTCCAGGCAGGAATGGCCCAGAGACTGTTATCTCCAATTAACCATTAAAAAGCTGCAAGTGGAGCTATGGCTCAAGTTCTAGAGTGCTCATCTGCTCAGGGATAGTAGTTAGGCCCTAGTTTAAATCCCAGGACCAATACAAAGAGAAACCCAACTTTCTTATCAACTTAAAAAAGAAAAAGTGAGGTTGCTACTCAAGTGATAGAGTACCTGCCTAGCATAAGTGTGAGGCTCTTGAAAGAAAACTGGATTCCAGTGGGCTATGCTTACAAATCCTAGCTACTCAGGAGGCTCAGGTTTGAGAATAGGGGTTTGAAGTCAGTCCAGGCAGACAAATTGGAGAGACTCTTATTGGGGGCAGGGGAAGGCATGGGTTGGAGGTATGGCTCTAATTGGTAGAAACTCCAAGTACTGAGTTCAAGCCCCATTACCAACAGTTAACAAAGGAAGACTATATTTTGATGCGACCATCGAGGACTAAAATGTTGCCAGTTGCCCATAGCTCAAACCTGTAATCCTAGTTACTCAGGTGGCTGAAATATCTCAGGATTATAGTTAGAAGCCTGCCTGGTTAGGAAAGTCCATGAGACTCATCTCTAATGAACCACCTAAAACTAGAAGTAAAGCTGTGATTCAAATGCTAGAGCACCAGCCTGAAGCTAAAAACAAAAAACTAAGTGACAGTACTAAGACTTTCAGTTCAAACCCCTGTACTGGCACTTAAAAAAGATTAGTGTTAGAAGTTGGGCAATTTAGACCGGTAGAAGCAAATTTTCGAACTTTGAATAAAGTGAGACTCTTTTGAGAGTTCATATTTGGAATGAGACAGAAGAAAAAGCTATCATAAGCTGGGTGCCAGTGGCTCACACCCGTAATCCTAGCTACTCGGGAGGCTGAGATCTGAGGATCAAGGTTCAAAGGCAACCCGGGCAGGAAAGTCCATGAGACTCTTATCTCTTATTAACCACCAGAAAACCAGAAGTGGCACTGTGGTTCAAGTGATAGAGCACTAGCCTTGAGT